AGGATCATGGGACTTAGAAAGTAAGGTCATAAGGGGCCCTTTAAGGGATCTATAGGGGGGGGTACTATTAAGGTTTAGGGTTTAGGGTCTACTTGGAGGATCATGGGACTTGGTAAGTAAGGTTATAAGTACCCTAATTGGGGTTATAATTATAGTTACCTTGTTTATAACCCTAGTTGCTAAGTCCCATGATCCTCCAAGTAGACTTCCAGTAGATGGAGGGTCTGGGTTGTAGGACTCCCTGAACCCTGCACCCAGAAACTTGTGAAACTCTTGTAGTAACTCTGCACCCGAATCTCACGGCAAGGGGCAGCGACGGTGTTGCCCGATGCGTCCACCACCTGGGAATCCTCTCTTGCGTGGCACTTGCCTGGGTTCTTGTGTTGGAGCTGAGCTGAAAGGGAGTGTGTTTCGCTGTAGGGTTTGATAGGATTAACAGAAGGTATCCAACAAGGAGCCCCGTAAGAAGGAAAGCACAGTCTTTGCTTTCTCTTCCATGCTTTGGCAAATGAACTTAACGGCCTTGTGCGGACCCAGCTGCCGGACACCGAGAAGACCACCTGTTCGGCCAGCTCAGGAAGAATACATGAAGCTGTAGAGTGTAGGGTTTACGATTTCAAGGTTGCAACTAGGATAATGCTTTCTACAAACGTAATTTTGTGGAGGTAGCATGCCCCTTCTCCCTGAACCAGGAGAGAAAACCCAGAACCATTAAACTAGCAATGGTAGAAGATATGGCTATTGGTCTAAAATTGGTAGGATATGAATGATCTTACCCGAATATAATACCCCAAATTGTAGGATCCTTATTAAAAGGGCCCCAGAATAGGTTTTCAGAAACTCCCAATGCAGAATCTGTCAAACCTACCCAAGGCCTCAAACCCCGAAACGCACCTGCCTGGTTCTGCGAGTCCGTCATTGGCAGCATCTTTGCGGGATTCGTCTTCTGGGAGGTCATCCACGGCTCGATGGTAAAGGGCCGGGCGGGGCCAGGACCTACCTGAAATAGCGCTTTGCATGGGCCACGCGCTCAGGATCTAAGCTCGGGGCTACAGCCTGCGGCATAGTCAAGGCTAGGGTTGCTACCCAGAGAGCCCAAAATTTCTTAATTAAGGAATGGACCTTAGATCATAATACTAAGGCCCCTATACTTTCAGGTCTATTCCTTCTTTACAGAGTAAGTTGGCCTGTCCGGGTATGTATTTGGCCGACTTTTGAGGCTTACAGACCCTACTTGGAGGATCATGGGACTTAGTAACTAGGGTTATAAATAAGGTCACTATAATCATAACCCCAATTAGGGTACTAAACCCCAAACCCTAAACCCTAAACCCGAAACCCTAAACCCTAAACCCTAAACCCTTCCTTACTAAGTCCCATGATCCTCCAAGTTTTAGGGTACCGGGCTTTGGCTTCTCAGCTTCTCCTCTCGATGCCAGCTTCAAAGGCCCGCAGCTTGTGGTTTTGAAGACAGGGATTTAGGGTTTAGGGTTTAGGGTTTAGGGGTTTCGGGGTTTAGGGTGTAGGGTTTAGGGGTTTGGGTTTGGGGTTTAGGGATTTCGGGGTTCAAGGGTTCATGGTTTGGAGCTTGTGGCTTCAGATGCAAGGCTCCAGGCTGGAAGAGGATCGAGTCTTGGGATGCCGAAGATAACTTCGGAACTTGGGGAATTAAATTACCTGGGACTTTCCGAAAATTAGGGTACCTTATTTGGGGTCTTTATAATCAGGATCCTATTATTTAGGGTGCTATGCTAGGGTCCCCTATTTTCGGAAACCCCCACCTGGGTCAGAATGTGGGAAAGTCACAGCCCTATACCAAGACTCTTCATAGAACTCCTCCCTGTTTATCAGCCCTCGAAACCCCTATGGGCACCAGGGTACCAGGCCGTCCACGAGCGTCTTTCCATCTTGAGCGTGGGGCTTCAGGTAGTCGTTCGGGTCCGCAACGCTCCCGCAGCAGCCCATGGCGGAGAGACGGGCAGAAAGGCTGCTATAGGGGTACAGCTGCTCGGGCCCACTGGCCGGTTCAGTCAGAGAGCATGGGCGTGGACATATACGGTGACTGGGCGAGCTTTAGATCTTAAGTTCTGGGTACGTCGCTTATGAGAGGAATGAAGGGTAGTGGAGCGGCTCGCGGGGTTAAGTGCGGGGTGATCACAGAGGCTGGCAGGATAACCGCTTCTACGTTCTTCGTTGTTCTTCAAGCAGCCAACGTCTTGTACTGCCGGTTCTGGCCTGTCGCCCGCCAGCCCTTGAGATGTTGAGGTGTGTCCGTGAAAGGGCGATGGGCTATCCCCGCACGGCGGGATTCGTCTACTCGACCCAAGTGACAGTATGCTGATTTGGGAACGCATGAAATTACATGCATCATTTGTTGCCAAACCCCTCTCGTGTGTCTTCCTTCCCACAGTGCAGGTAGTCTACTAGGTCTGCATGATAAGCACCTCGCGCAGAGTCTAAGCGCACCCTCTGCACTGCTGGCCCTAGGGTTTGGGGTTTAGGGTATAGGGCTTAGGGTGTAGGGCTTAGGGTTCAGGGTTTAGGGTTCAGGGTTTAGGGTTTAAAAGGTGTAGTGTTTAGGGTTCAGGGTTTAGGGTGTAGGGTTTAGGGTGTAGGGTTTAGGGTGTAGGGTTTCCCGGGTCAAACAAAACAACTGCACCGACCCGAAGGCCCCGGCTTGACGTCCCCGGCCGCAGCCATGGCCACCTCGAAGCTGCCCGGAGAATGCTTTGTCTCCAGCCTCGGAGCTTTGGGGTCTTGGGGTTTAGGGGCTTAGGGTTTAGGGGTTTAGGGTTTAGGGTTTAGGGTTTAGGGTTTAGGGTTTAGGGTTTGGGGTTTAGGGTTTAGGGCTTAGGGCTTAGGGTTTAGGGGCTTGGGGCTT